TAAACATTTCTGTGTATGTGAATATTTCAGAACTTGCTAATGGTATGAGTAATTTAATCTACAAAGACTTTTATATCTATATCCTTCAAAATAATCACATTTACTTTGAATGGGTTCTGAAAGTTCCACCGATATGCTAAAATTACTGAGATGATTGAACTGCTTAAATAATCTAAGCTAATAATTATATGAAGTATATGTTTGAGCTACCTATTAGTTCGAAAGAAAAGAACTTTATGTATGGTCAATTATCTTTCAGTGTTGAGTGTGTTATTATTTAGTATCATCAACAGGCTTGGCCGGATCTGTATTATCAAAATCAGACTTCAAAGGAGGAGACAGTTATCGAGACAGTGATACGACGTATCATGAGAGATATTGGACAAACATTTAACTCTTGAGATGGTGGAAAAGATTTGTAGCTCAGGTGAACTTTTACCTGAAGTTCGTGCTGATGATGTCGCTCAGAAGAACGATGAAAGCTCCACGACCAAACCATCCAGCTCAGAGAACGAAACTCCACCAAAATCATCACTCTTAATAGATCAAAGGACAAAAAGGAACAATGCAAACTCTGTTTTGGCACATTTCGTAGATACCAGTCACTCACCATGTTGATATTAATTTGACTTTCAAGTTTATTTAAAAATTCCATTACAATTGCTTTAGATTTCCAAACTTTATCTTTTACATACACTAGAAGCTATAGGTATACACGTCAATAAACGTAATCATTTTGTACAGAAAAAGTTAGTTCACCCACTTAACTTACCATACTGTTCTTCTTAGTATGTTTCTCATAAAATGTTTATATCTTATTTAATTTTAATTAATGATTTCGTTCTACATAATCTATTTTTATTTAATAAATATTTTGAAATTAAAAGATAAATAGTGATCAGCAGTGGAATCCAGGACGAGCGTTTCGTCCTATTTGGGGCTCGTCAGCCGGATGTACCTGCATCTCGGAGTTGATGTTCAGTCCTGAGATGCAAGTGCATCCAGCTGACGACTCTCAAATAGAACGACATCTGCGTCCTGAATTCCACTGCTGACCACTATCCATCTTTGTTTATAATGCTTGTGAATTATAGCAATATCGAGGCAATAAGCACAGTATGCACATATGCCAATAACAGACTGATCATTTGCAGTCTTAAACCTCAATGGGAAGATTATAGCAAAACCATACCAAGTGAATTTTGAAATTAATTCTAATTCTTAAATGATAAGTTGTTGTATTTAACCAACTACGTATTCTCATGTTTAGATCTAATTGTGCATTCTAACTTATTATTGTTTTAAAGAAAATAATGCAATACATTTTTGAATTGATCAATCACCGTTTATTTAGTGTTGGTTTCATTTTGAATTATAAAACTTATTTATAGTAGTGTTGGGCCCTGATGAAGAAAGAATTTGAAAAATATTTTTTTCCATTCTACTTGTGTTTTCAATGTTTAATATTTAATAAACGATTAGTGTTTAAAACATAAAAAATTACCAGTATAGGGTTGAGAAGTGATCATAGTTAGACCGTTATTGAAAACCCGAAAGCATTGAACGGCCGTTTAGTCCTAGTACGGAACTCCTCGGAATTGTTCGACCCTGTGAACGGTAATCAAGCTGGCAACTTTCAGGCTCGAGCGTAAGCACTTAATTTCTAAACCATTGTGAAAGTATACAACAGTGTTGATGTCTAATTTCAATCAATCCACAACATAACACGACCATCTTCTGTTGTCTATAGTGGATAACTGTCCCACAAGATGAATTAGTCTTTGATTGAGTTAAATAATACTATAACGAAGAGAAACAAAAGTCCACTGACCTCAAATATTTAATTCCTCTTATAATTCTAAAAGAGGGACATAAACAATGTATCTGTTCATCGTAATGATTAGCAAGCAACGAACTCCGCTTTTAGTGAGCTTCTAAAAATATTATTGCTATCAAAGTTTTTTTTTAAAGTGACTTAATTATCCAGAAGGAAAATGTAATGAAACTGTTTAATTTGATAATAATAACTGTTTTGAAATAATGTCATCTTTGTAAGGTCTATGGACTTTCGCTGAATTATGTTTATTCTATATATCTCGTGTAAATGATGCAGTCACTTACTTTGTTTTATTATTCATATCATTACTACTATTATTATTATTATTATTATTATTATTATTATTATTCATGCTCTCATCTATATTACCTTCTCATATTACTAAACGTTTTACAAAACATTTACGCGTAAATCTTGACTCCTGTGTCTAATTTTGTTGATAATGACTTATTCATCTTATTAATTGTCTCATTTTGAATATTTTAGTTTCAGTAAGTACATTATGTAAATAATTTACTTTCAGACAGATTTTCAATGCAAATGTAAACTGTTTGATAATGATAATTAGTTTTGTCTTCTATTGAAATATTATTATTATCATTAAGCTGAGATATATGGAGTTTTGGTTTTGCCAGGGTAACATTCAAATTGACTATTAGTTTTATGTTTGTACTTTAACAAATCAAGGAGTTCAATACAAAAAAGTTGTGTTCCTCTTTGCCATTTCCTCGAGGGATTCTAAGTTAACGTTTGCCTCGTGATGCAGTTCGAGGATTTCCGTAATGTATATCTTATCCACTTCCAGAGTCTTTCCCTAATTTCCTCTTCAGATGAAAGCTGGTTTGTTCTATCCTATAGTAGTCTGTTGCTGATAGTACCCGGCCAACGGACATTCAGTATCATACGTAGACAATTGTTTATTTGTACTTCTATCTTTTTGATCAAGGTTGTCGTCGTTTTATACGCTACAACTCCGTACAGTAGAACTGTTGAGACGTTCGTATTGAAGATTCTCATTTTGATATTTGTTGACAGTTGCTTTGAGTTCCACATGTTCTTCAATTGTAGGAATGCTGTCCTTGCTTTGCCAATCCTCCCATTTACGTCTGCATCGGATCCTTCTTGTTCACCGATGATGCTACCCAGATAAGTGAAAACATTCCACCTCCTCCAGAGTGATTGGGTTGGTGTTCTCCGTGTAGTATATGAGGATCCTACTTTCTCCTTTGTGTATGTTGAGGCCTGCTTGTGCGAAGGCTGTTGCTGCACTGGCTGTCTTCATCTTCATTTATTTGTGTGTATGAAATAGAAGTCAACTGTGGAGTCCTAATCGTCTAGTTGTATGCAAGCTGTCGAATGTATTTTATGCTACCAACAAATAAACCAATCTTTGCAAAATCATTTCTCTAATGTATAAATAATATGCTATTTGATAGTAGCTTTAAAAGTTTTGATTATATCATTACAGATCGTTTGTATTAAGACGATGCACAATATTACGAATTGTATAAAGAAATGACTTTTGATGAAATAAAGTTTAAGTCTAATAAATGTTAGAATTTTGTTGAGATGATATGTATTTATAATGAACTGTAGAAATTGAAATGAATAAATCTTTCAAGGAATTTTCATCTAGACCACTGAGCCGTCATCCAACGGTGTTAATGTCTAACTTCAACTAATCCACGAAATTGAGTGACGCATCCACCATTGTCATCAGTGAGTTACTATCTCACAACTGACCCGGTTTGAACTCCACTGGTCATTGCTTCTCACTAGAACTTCAGGATATATCTCATGAAGCCAGTCACTAGTGTGCATATCGAAAATTATTAAAAAAGTTTATTTCATACATAAAATTGAAATGTCTAAAATGTAGTTTAGAATAAGTATACAATGACTACATATATAATTTAATTGTACTTCTAATCAATCTGTGTAAATCACCATTAAATCAGTTGGTAGTTTCCATTTAATCGATCAAACCATTATTATGTATATACAGTAACTGCTCCTATTAGGATATCATTGGTACTCGTGTTTGATCCATAATCATAAAATATATCATATATGTAATGCTTCATTTATTTCTGACTATTGGATACAATGAACATGAATAAACCACAAATTGATTCAATTGCTTATTTAAACAAAATAATAAAAAAAGACGAAATTGAATTTATTGCGTATCTACTCAATAAACCATTTCAGTGACTTAATTATTCACCTATTTAACTTACGGTTTCCTGCTACCTTAACCGATATGACATATTCTTTTATAATAAAGACTTTATACGTAAATCACACAAAGAATTGTTTCTAATATAATGATTTCTCTCTTACCGTATACGAAAAGTAGTTCTCTGATTAGTCTTTCCCATCAATGATATACAAACACACTAACTAAACGTATGGCTTTACAGAAATCCTATGTCTATCTCTATCTGTACTCAAAAATTCTTGAATAGTTTTCATAATATAAACAATTGAATACGTGACTAACACACATTTATATATTCATATAAATTCACTAAATAGAGAAAGACAACCTAACTTGTGTTTCCTGATGAAACTGTCTATCTATATATACACATATATCTTTTTAGTTAGAGATTTGAAGACCAATTTCATATATATATACATCAGCCTACTTCATTTAGTTAAAATCTATAATTTCTCTCACCTTCCTCAAAATCCCAAACACAAGGTCGTTTTATTTGTATTGACCAATCATAACTATGGGGAAATATTCTCAAAATCTTACTGTTAGGATGATATACATTATTTTTTCCTACTATTATTATGTATATTAGATAATATTATACTATTCAAATTCAATTAATTATTTAGTTAGTTGTAGTTCCAATGTATATTCTGATATGAGATTCCATGAAACCTTTTTGACAATGACTATGATATTTAGTTTTTTCTTTAAAAAAAAATATAAAGAAAGAAAACTATTCTTTCATTGAATATTCTTTAACATTATAATATCGTAATCAGTTAATTGTCACTTGGATACTATCTATAAAGATTATGAAAGGGGGAAATAATATACATAAAATTATATGATTATTTTTCTGGATTATAATCAATATTTATTTATGCATATATACCTCTATTCAATATTATCATAATAGTCATCTTTCATTTTGGAGTATTATTTTAATGAATTTACAAATTCAAAGTAATGATATATAATATTATTGATAAAAGAAAGGATCTACATAGCGATTTAGTACATTATTATTATTATCAATATTATTATTATTATTATTTAGTACTGTTTCTACTGATGAACTTAACATTAGGACGAAACTCTATAATAAATGATCAAATGCATATATCAACCTTTCATTCAACTATAACATAATGCTTAATATATTTTCTATATGTATATATATATAGTAAAATAATATTATTTATTTAATAATTGAATCAAAGGAATAACGATATCATTAAAAAAATTATTAATATTATTACTAATACAAGTATCATTATTAATAGTAATAATAATGGAAAATGAACATGATATAAAATCATTTCATCGAATGCCCAGTGAAAGAAGGCGTAAATTATGGTCGTTAGCAGCACGTGCAGCTGTTAAATGCCCAGATGATGTTGAAAAAGATATAACAACTCAACATGAAGGTTCATTAATTAAAGAATCTGGATCATTAGCTAAAACTCAGGATTCAGGTGTTTCAGTAGATTTTGCATATGATAATCAACCATATTCAACAGCATATTCACCATTTACTTCACATTCACATTGTCGTATAAGTTTAGATACTGAAAGTGCTGAAAATTATGATTATGGTAGATTGTCAAGAGGTGTTAAAAGATTTTACGATCCTGTACAGAATGTTACTTTAAGTGCAGACTTAAGTGACACTGCGAATATTGAAAGAGGAAGAAGTTATGTAACAAAACGTAAATCAGTATTTTCAATACCTCACATTCCATCTCATATATCTTCTGCGAGTGCAAATATGAGACGTATTAGAAAGGCGTCTAAACAATTCGATACATCTATCAAACATGGTAGTGCAGATACATCAGGTTTAGGCAGTAGCCTAGATTGGGTGTCTTTAGAAACTGGACAAACCCCATTCTACCGAAAAATGTCTTCACAATATGTACATAATCCAAGAACTATTATTACTGTTCATAAAAGTTTGGATGAAAAGCAAACTACTCGCCCTCTTGTTGTAAAAAAACACTTGACTAGTGATGATGGGGATACTGAAAGATATTTATTACAAGAGTTTCCCTTAAAAATATATACTTCCACTATAGCACCCGGAAATCCACAGGAACCTATTTTAAATAGAGATTTTGTAAAATCCTCTCAACATAGGCAGAAGCCTGTAAAATTGCAGCAGCCAGTTTATCAACCAGATTACCATCTAGAAACAACGATCAGTGTCAGTGAATCTGGTTCACCATACAGACCAAAAAGTGATATTCCACCACGTCGTACTATAAGGGATCCTCATATGATAACAAGAAGCTTTGACCAGGCATATTATGCTCATAATATACCGTACAATCACTCAAACATACCAACAACAAACGTATCCAGAAGTGATGAAGGCAGTATACCACTAACTTATTTCGACCAACATGAAACAATAAACTGGCCAATTTTCACTGAAACTGATGTTAACCTCTCAAGATATGCCTCAGGTTTAGATGATGATACGCGAGAGAAAATGTTAACTGATATGCGGAATCGCTCAGTACACTGGGGTCCAATATATAGAAAAGATCGACGGTATTATCCAAAGGACTATTATTGGATGAACCAACAACAACGAAAACGACATGAACAGCAAAAATCGAAGACAATTTACAGGAGATCACATACATTAGGTGATAGTGCGGAGAATATTGACACTGATTGGATGCCAACTAGATCAAAAGCACAGTTTAAAACACAACTTTACACTACACCCCCACCGACTGATGAGAAAGAAGCTTACTATAATGGTTTATTAATGGAGCATAAACTTAAAGAACCTCATATGGATTTTCAAACCTTTTGTAGATTGAGACGATTAGGTCGATTTAATGAAAAATATCATTTTGGATTAGATACAGGCATAATAGATGAATCACAAAGATTATTACGAGAATCACAAGATTCTTTTCATCTTAAACCTACATATTCAACTCGTAGAAGATGGACTTCAGCTGAAATACCTGAAGTAAAAGTTTCACCAGTTTTTGCTGATTCAGCTGAAATAAAGTATGGTGAGAATGAAAGTAAGTTTTTTTCCCAAAATTACTCATGTGGACTTTTCTGTAGTTGTAAATGACAATAATCAAGAATATTTACAAACAGACTAACTACCTCTCTTTCCGTTTGTTTACCAGTTAAGTTGAAGACATAAAGCTTTTTTTCTTGAGTCATTGTAAAGATCAAAATTAATAATATCGGATAATGATGATTTGCTTTTTAGTTAATAGTGTAAAGAATATAAGAATATCTGTGGTTGGAATGAATAAAATCATTATTTTTTGAATGTTCAATATAATGTAATATATAAGATTTCGGAGTACTTTTCTGTTTATTTAAGTGACTAATGATGTATGTGAAGGTACAACTTTCACTAATGATTCCATTTTTTAGTCATCTAAACCTGTTTTACATATACATTCTCTAAACAAACCACTGTTGTTTATCCCAACTTACTGAATGTAAAAGCAAATATAGTAAAACTTAAAGCTTCAAGTGTAATTTACAGTGAATATCATGCTTTTATACACAATAAAGAATGAATGGGAAAAAAGTCCAAGAAAACTTTTGATATCTCACACAGATTGAATATTGAAAAACGGTTTTACTACAAATTATTGGATATATCTTATCCTTATTTTCCTAGTCAATGGACTTGTAATCATATTTGATAAATGTCTAAATTCTACCGGATAGAACAAAATTGATAGAAGTCAGATCAGATTATTTGTTCATTCTTTCATTTGTTTCATAAATGCAATTATTTAAATTAATAAGCAATTCATTAATATAAAACAATAAAATAGATTCATGAAATTCTATTGATACATTGTACTTGATAAAGTTCAATCAAAGTTAGTATCCATTGACTGAAATCATGAACCGGTTGATTTTAGACCACTATTGAAAACCTGGAAGCACTGGACGGCCATTTCGTCCATTTAATTGATCACAAATAACCAAAAGTTGAAATTTTAAACTAGTCAACATTAAATGAATTTCCCAAACTAAAATTCATTATCTATAAGATCTAAAAGATCTAGGTTTAATAATTGACAACTGAAGAGTCACTAAATAAGAAGGGGTTCACTTTTTTTTCTTTATACTTTAGTGATTTCTCAAATGATCATTAATTATATTTATATAATTAATTAACCACTATCCATCCACTTTAGATTTTACCAGTAATTATACAAATATTAAAAAGCAATAGACTATTTCCATTCCTTCTAAGTTCCTTAAAATATCGATTTTTATTGATTGATTTAACATTTTCATTGAAACTACTCATAATTAAAAAAATTCTGTCTATTTCTTTACAATATCAACTAATCTATTTAGATTATATTGTATATTTACTTTATGATGAATCAAAACGCAACTAATAGTTTTGCAAAACAATTTTTTTTAATTTTAAGCAAAGATGGATAGTGGCGAACGTTTGAAGCGAACGGTACTGAGTTCGAGTCTCAGAGTGAACATCAACTCTGAGATGCAGGTACATCCAGCTGACGAGTCCCAAACAGAACGAAACGCGCGTCCTGGATTCCACTGCTAGCCACTATCCATCTTTGCTTAAAATGCTTGTAAATTAAGGCAATATCGAGGCATACGCACAGTATGCACATATGCCAATAAGAGACTGATCAATTTCAGTCCTAAAATATCAATGGGAAGATTCAAGTAAGACAATATCAAAAGAATTATTTTCTTTTATTGTTGTTAACTTGTTTATCATTAAACTAGTCAGGTTTTTATTATTTAAAATGAATTATATTACTGTGAATATAGGCATATTTTGAGATGGTGGAGAAGATTCGTAGCTTAGTTGGGTGATTCTGATGGAGTTTTGTTCTTTGAGTTGTATGTTTTGGTCATGTGGTTTAGTCGACCAAAACATCCAGCTCAAAGAACAAAACTCCATCAGAACAATCATAATTTTATCGAATAAATAGATATATATTAGCAATTATATGAATAGTTTGGACAATCGTGAATTTGCACTACTGAAGAATCTCATCGTAGAACAAAACATCAGTTCAGTGTTTCTAGATTATTAATGGTTATCTAATTTAGACAAGTTTGTGTTTTCGGCGGAAAAACAATGTGATTTTATTTAATTTTGTTAAAAATTGTTCATTCAGTGTATAGAAAGAAATAATTTACACTGCCATTACGTATTACTGTCAAGATAAGTAGTATATATGGATCGTTTAATTTGAATTAAATGATCACATTGAACTCATATCCTTTGAAGGACCAATGAAAATCAGGAAGAAGTTAGACAGTTGTTTCATTCTTGTCTTAGGATCCATGACAATACTAACTGATAATTTAGTGAGTATAAAACCTCACAATTGATTGATCACTGGGAGGCAATCAATGTCATACGTGTCTGATCATTATTATTAGTGCAGACCGAATGCTTTCGATCATGTTGCAATGTGGCCACTAGTCTAGGTGACTCGACACTGTGGGCACTACATATTGAGATTAGATGGTGGTTGGAGGTAGTCAACAGGAAACCCTGTACCCAGGTTTCGTGCTACTTGGCTCTCGTCAGCAAGGTGTACGTGTAATCTTGAGGGAACTGGTGCTCCCTTTAACTATTAAATGAGAATCAGTCAGTCAATGTTTCCTTCTGTATATCTATGATTTATCTTATTTTCCTAAATAAAAGAATCATGTAAGATGAATATCATTACTTCAAATACACTCGGAGTTGAAGCTTCGTTACCTAAAACAATGATACATAACACGTGTTGATATTATGAAAATTAATATTATAGCGAGGGGTTTTGTGAATATTATGGTATTTTCATAGTTGAATTCATTAGTCAATTGAAGTTAGACCAACATGAAAAACCTAGAAGAGAAGAATCTCAAACTAGGACGAAACGGCCGTTTAGTGCTTCAAGGTTTTCTACAATGGTCTAGCTTCAATTGACGCGTGAATTCAACTATTAAAATAAGATAATATTCCATTATTTACGAACAATTTTGATGCACATAATTGTTACGTCCTTGATCTGTCTACCCACTTTTGTGCAGAGTATAACACGTCTAATCTAGATAGACTGACTGGCTTAACTTTGAGGCTAGTATGCGTGAGATCAACTGCTTGAGGTATACAGACGAAAACTATCTCATCATCTGATTGGCTGACAAGCACGCGAGTGAGAGAAAACAAATAAACTGGAATATTACACGATTTATTCCCAATTTCGATCTGTTTCCCGATTTCAGATAAGTGTAAAAAAGTACATGAATAAATAGATAACTAACCAGACTACAATGCACAACAATTAGGAAAAATACAATTATATTCAAAACTGGAGATAAGCATAGAAAACAGAGTACAAAATATTACGTTTAAAATACTATAGTTTTGGAACAAAAAAAAGGTTATAACAGTGAATCATACATCAAACGAAAGCTTATGATCTATAGAATAGACTAGGGATAAAAATAAATGTTACTGTTCTTTTTTACAAGTTTTGAATTAAATGAAATAACATCCCCCTTCAAATAGCTTCTGTAGTTTATCAAAGCTTCAATAATATTGAAATTTAAAGCCTCATAATATCTAAATATTCTTTGATGAACATACTTAATTCATTGATATCAGTAGTTACTATTAAACTTGACTTCATTTGAATGAATGTAGTATTTTTCTTTCTTTCTAATATGTCCTTTTCAAGGTCGTTTGATTGTTTTTCTTTCAACTAGATTTCGGACATTGAAAATGGGTTGAACATTAAAAGCAATCATTGAAAAACAGATAATTGTTTGTTTTGTTGGTGGTGGTGATAGTGGTGGTGGTGATGGTGGTTAATTGACTAATTAAATTAAATAAGAATGTAATTATCTGTCAAATAGGGTATTCGGTTGTTTGTTTTTCTTTAAGTTTCTTATTCCTTCTGATTAGAAACTTTAAAGTACAAGAAATGGAGTAGTTACTAAGTTTAGTTTTTGACGAGTTTTTTTTTGTTGGTATTTCGATTTGAAATGTATTTGGTTTTTATGGACGTCATTTATTTGTTTTTGTAAAATCAAAGAAATAAGGTTTTACTAAATCATTGAATGAATATACAATGTAATAGTTGTATCTCTACCAGATTCTTGAATGATAACTAGATTTAGTTGAATGCTTTTTAATAATAAATGATATTAAATATGGGAGAGGTATTCAATTTGAAAATGAAATGTTTAGATTTGAATAGTTCATTTTGAATCATTTTAGATAAACATTTCTGTTGTTTCAAGACATAAATATATCAGTAGTTGAGATCATGGGTCAATTGAAGCTAGACCATCATAGAAAACCTGGAAGCACTGGATGACCGTTTCTTAATAGTGTGAGACCCCACAAAAGTGCATATACAATATTCCAGCTCGCGAGATTCCAACTCAGGGCCTATCTGTCTCACGCACGAGTGCCTAACCACTAGACCACTGGACTGGCATCCAACGGTGTCAGTGTCTAACTTCAACTAATCCATGAATTTGAACGACACATCCACCATTTTCTCGCACGCGAGACTGATAGGTCTTGGGTTCGAATCCCGTGAAGTGAGCTCGTGAATGGGCATTGCTGAGGAGTCTCAGGTTTTCCATGTTGGTCTAGCTTCAATTGACTCATGATCTCAACCAATGAAATTACTACGAACTCCACAAAATCCCTTCTGATACATAAATATATGTTAGTAATAACCTAATTATTTCTAAGTTGGTAATTTAACTGAGAAATCAACAGTCACAAATTTAATTTATAGTGTGAAAACAAATGTATCATCAAGATGAATTTTTGAACTACTTACTTTGTTCAAATAAAACATTCTATTGGGTTAGCAACGATCTTGATTTCCGAGAGTAAGTTTATTTGATAAATTATATTACATACCTGACTTTTAAGTATACTCAAGCAGAACAATATACTGTATAACGTTTAGAAAAGTTGTAATTCTGATTGATTCTATATTTGTTACATTTTCCAATGAGTGGTAATCACAGGGAACTTGTCATT